GTTCATATTTCTTCTAGATGTAATCGAGGCTCTATCGAACCCTATTCGCTATGTCAACCTTCTGGAGCAAAGATCTAAACAGCTGGCAGCCCTGACTCTGGAGGATGGCGAGGAGGACACGCAGACTGAGGTCAGACCTGCTTCGATTCTATTCATTCTTTGTCTCGTGAGCTAAAAGTTTGGCTGTAAAAGGTCTTGGTATTGATTTCCAGGAGGAGACTGAAAGCTGTGCAGAGCGTAAGACTGATCTGAAATCAGCTCCACTAGAAAATGGGCTTAGCCCGGTCTGTGGCCCACCGGGCCACACCCCCATTGCCACCACACCCAAAGCTTCTGCAGCCAATCAACAGGCAGCCACGACAGGTAGTTAGCACTTGCAAGTGAAGATGCACACACTAATACAAATATTAAATGACTGATAAAAGTGAACTGCAGATATTCTAATGGTAATATGTACAAATACTAAATGTACTTTTTTGGTATGGATTTTCTCTTTTCTACATTTTAGATGCAGCCAAACCAGCAGCCAAGACTGAAGACCTGGTTTTAAGTGTTTTGATAGGTCAGTATTTACATAATTACACATTAAGATTTCTTATTTTAATTCTCTGGATTGGTCTGAAAGTGTGATTCAATGATAGCAAATTTAAAAAAAATAATTAAGAGCAAAATTAGCACTGAGTGTATCTTAAATATATCGTGCATTATATATGTTTATATAAAGGTGAGTCTAGGACTAGGTCTGAAAAGTGAAGCCAATCCATGCATGTCTTAAACCTGTGATTTTTCTAAAGGCTTGCAGAAGAAGTCTGTTTTCATAGAAGCAGGGAAAATTAACTTTATTGATTTATGATCTCAGGAAATACATTCCTACTAAGTATATGATCACAGTCATTAACATGAATGGCATCATTTTTTATTTTGTTTATTTATTTATTCATTTTATTTATAAAGTGTGGTGTACTTTAAGGTGATTCCGGAGTTTTAACACAAACTAATACACTGTATGATCTGTGATCACATATGGTAACAGATGTCCCAGTGTGCACTTTGGAGAATCTGCAGCAGTCCAAAGTTTACCAGAAGGAGCAGAGACGCCAGTTTAAAGAGCTGAAGGAGTTAGTGAGGAGACACCAGAAGAAAACGTCAGAACTCCTCCGAGAGTTCAACAATAAGTACAAGAAGACAGCAAGACAATGCAGCAAGAACAGGTACGCACACCAACGTTATTATAGTGAATAAAATAAAACTAACTAAAACTAAACTGAATTGAAAATTACAAAGTCAAAATGAAAAAAAAGAGAAAAATAATTATACATTTTAAAGCTGTAATAACTCTGACGCACACAGACATGTTATGTTTGTGTTTTTTTTTAATTATAACATTTTTTTCTCTTATCATATTGAAATAACACCTGTTATTTTACTGTGAAAGAGAGGGGAAAGTGTTTCATTTTAAAATCTTCGATTTGTCCTTGTCAGGAGTTCGAACTCGGACAGTGAGAAGGACGACCGTCTGCAGCAGCTGAGAGAAGAGCAGCATCAGCAGCTTCTGGCTCTGAGGCAGGAACAGTACTATAGTCAGAAATATCTGCAGAGAGAACACATTAAAACGGTAAAATCTAACAAAACGAACTTTTAAAACAAAAATAATAGTTTCTTCACTTTTGATTTAGGTATTATTGACAAGGGAAACTCATAATAACATCTTCCCCAAAAGACAAATTGCTAATAAGTATCACGCTTTGATTGGCATGTCAGAAAGTCTCTCCCCCCCAGGTATAGCAATAAGAATGATGTTTGACAGGCTCCGTGTTAAGTTAGCGCCTTCAGTTTTGAGCATGTCTGTAAAATGTATTTGTGTGAAACAGTGTCTTTGTTCCCTCCAGCTGACGGAGCGGCTGACCAGTCTGGCTGAGGAGAGTCACAACACCCAGATGAAGAAGCTCAAAGACATCTGTGACAAGTGAGATAAAAATCTGTGACTGAAGTCTCACGGGTCTTTAAGCTCAGAGGAATTCCACATGGTGTTAGAGTTATTTTCATAGCAGCAGTAGCTTGCAGAGCATTCCCTCTGAGCTGCTTCAGGCAACAGCAGGTTGGATTTTTGCAGGGCATGGTGCCATTCTTTATGGTCTTTATACCATAAAGACAAAATTTGACAACCTCCCCTTTACACTTAATGACAAGTTTGGATGTGTAGGTATATACGAATAAAGATGTGGTTTGACAACCACTAGAAACCGTCCTCCCTACTTCTGATGCAAACAACTCGGCTCAGAAAAGAGCTGCACGGATAACTACTAGTAGGCTTTCAGGGGGCTAAGAGTTAATTTTGAATTTGATCCTAGCAATACAACTAAAAAAACAGGGTGTGTTTACTACTGTGTTGCATCCCCTCATTTTTTAACAATGGTCTGTTTTCTTATTTTTTAAAACAAGGTCTGGACTGCAGTTCAGCTTCGGATTCTTCCAGTACAAAGCCAGGCTGTCACAATAGTTGCATTTGAATTATCTTGCTGAAATCAGCAAGGCTTTCCCTGAAAAGCAGCATCATCTGCATGGGAATGTATATTTCCATAAAAATCTGTATATACCTTTCAGCACTGATGGTGCCCTTCCAGATGTGCAAACTGCCAAGTCCAGACTTCTAAATGAGTGCTGATAACAAGCCAGATGGTTCCACTCCTCTTTAGTCCAAAGGATGTAGTTTCCATGTTTTCCAAAAGAAAATATCAAATTGTTCTCAAACAGGTTTCCAGTTTGAGTTTTGGCAGCAACGTTTCTGGATTATGTTCACATATGGATTCTCCGTTGTGTGATAGAGCTTTAACCTGCATTTGTGGATGGCACAGCAAATCCACAGTGTTCACAGACACTGATTACTGGAAGTGTTCCTGTTTGGATGTATTTGCATATTCCAGTAAATAAAACATGTCATTTATTCATTTATCAGGCACATTTTCACATAAGCATATTTTCTTTTTCAAATGAAATCATAATCACTGTTTTGACACCTAATTATGACAACATAATATATCTACTGCCAGCATTTTGAGAAATATTTATATTGTAGAACATGAAACTAATGATCTGCAATATTATTATTTTTTTATATTGAAAGTAATGTAGAAATTCTCCCAGTATTATCATATTAAATGGTGGAAGAAAAACAGACAAAGCATGCATTTAACAGCTTAAAATTATAGGCAGTTACCTTGAAATGCTTAAATGGCTCCTAGAGCTAATTGAAGGTGATTTAATAATTCAGTTCAATTCAGTTTTATTTATACAGCACCAATTACAACAACAGTCGCCTCAAGGCACTTTAGATTATAAGTGGGAAGGAAAAACTCCCTTTTAACAGGAAGAAACCAGGCTCAGGGAGGGGCGAGGCCATCTGCTGCGACTGGTTGGGGTGAGAGAAGGAAGACAGGATAAAGACATGCTGTGGAAGAGAGACAGAGGTTTATAACAGATATGATTAAATGCAGAGAGGTCTATTAACACACAGTGAGTGAGAAAGGTGACTGAAGAAGAAACACAATACAGCATAGGAATCCCTCAGCAGCCTACACCTATTGCAGCATTACAAAGGGGGGATTCAGGGTCTCCTGATCCAGCCCTAACTATGTGTTTTATCAAAAAAGAAAACCTAGCTAAGATTAGCTAAGGCTTAATCTTAGGTATTTATCTAGTTAAGATTAAGCCTAATCTTAAAAGTAGAGATAGTGTCTGTCTCCCAAATCCAAATTAGAAGCTGGTTCCACTGAGGAGGGAAAATGAAGGCTCTCTCTCCCATTCTACTTTTGAATACTCTGGGAGCAACAAGTAAGCCTGCAGTCTGAGGCATGAAAGCTCGTTTTGACCTCCGCATTTTCTATTGGCCCCAGAGGGAGCAACTCCACTGGAAGCAAAAATTAGATGTGAATTCCACAACAGAAGCCATGATGGTAAAACCATGGCTTCTGTTATATAAAAAATATAAATAAAAAAGCTTTTAGTTTGAATCAGATTCAAGTGGTAATTCTATGCTTTCAGTTTTTACATTGTAGTAACAATTAAAATAAGGTTAACAATAGAAAGGGACAGATTAGAGGGCATCGTATGGGCAATTCTTCAAATACCGGCCCAAATAATTGCCAGGAAGAGTTACCAAGATGGCTCTGGATTTTTAGCCTTGCTAAAGATGTCTTTTTAAAGTACGTGATACTTTACCCTATCTTATTTCAGCTGTTCTTCAAAAGATACTATGAGCCAGACTTTTACCCAGTACACTTTTAAAAACTTGATACCATGTTTTTCCCCAAACATTTGCCCTAATCTTTCTTTCTGCTTCTATAGGGAGAAAAAAGAGCTGAAGAAGCAGATGGATCGAAGGAGAACAGAGAAGATCAACCAAGCAAAGACCAAAGAGAAACATCTGGCTGAGGAGTACGATCTATAAGCACACGCACACACATTTCACTATTTATCTAGTTGCTGTAGCTTGCTCATCTGCTTCATGCACTGATCCACTGATCTAGTCTCATTAGAAGAGAAAAATATTTATCTCAGATCCAATCAATGTCAATCCATTTGTCTCTATGTTCCCAGGGAGAAGATTGAGATCAATAAGTCCTACGTCAATGAAGTCGTCCAGAACATTAAAAGGGTGAGCAGCAGATGAGGTTAAAGGAATTTTTATGGGCCTTTCCATAAAGTGAATTCCAAAGAGACAATTATGAAAATGTTATGGCTGCAACACTCTCTCCATTTAGTGCAACTCTGTCTGTATGTCTGTTTGTTTATCCTCAGCTTGAGGAGACTCAGGCAAAGCGCCACGAGCAGCTGGTGGAGCAACACAATGATCTCCTGCAGGAGATACAAGACCAGAAGCCAAAGGTAAATACAAGTTTCTTTTTCTGTCCACAATTAAGTTCATTTATTTTTAGCCAAAGTCGGTGAAATCTGCCACCGACCGCTTTGCAAGCTTCATGCTCAAATGCACTGCTTGGCAAGAACATTTCTTGTACACGAGGCTCCAAACTGGTGCTGCTGTCTGCCCACACCCACGCACTTTAGAGGCAGCGCTGACGTCAACGTGGGGCATTTAAAGGATGCAATGTGGCCTCTGGCAGCCATATTGGAGCTGTTCGAGTGTTGGCAGAAACGGCTGACAACAGCTGGTTGCGTTTCTGAATGTACAACCCATCTGTCTCAACTGTAGGAGATAACTAAACAAATTTGTGTGGTGTTTCTGACTGGGACCTGACTCATCATGGTTATATTTTGCTACATCTGCCGTTATGTAATCCCACCTTAGCCACAAAAAATCTTTAAAAGCAATCTATCCTCAGTGAGCAAGCGATTGTGTGTGGTGTTTTCCAGCTGCAAGGCTCTGTGGAGGCAGAGTTTCAAGAGAAGTTCCAGCGTTTGCCTGGAGAGATTCACGACTTCCTGCAGGACAGGAAGTTGGAGGCTCGAGGCCACAGCAAGTCACGACCTTCCACCCCACACGAAGCTCTTTCAGAGGAGGACTGAAGAGGGGAAAAAAGGATGAAGGAGCGAGGGGGAACGAGGAACGAGAACAATTGGATCAATGGAAGCAGCGTGGAGTAGATCAATGAAATGCAAAGCATGAGAATAAAAGATAACAAGAAGTATTGATGAAGAGGACGCGAAAGAGTAAATAATCAAGTTTATATAGACTGTTACTTCTTTTTAATGGAAGAATGCTTTAACAATTTATTTTTTATTCCATTCTAGCATGAACTTTGTGTGTTTAATACAAGTGTTTAATCAGACCCCGTTTAGTCTTGCATTAAGTCTTCTATTCTGTCATCTGTTATTTTAGACCTCAACAGTTTGTACTGCATGACTGCAAATCAATCTATCTATCTATCTATCTATCTATCTATCTATCTATCTATCTATCTATCTATCTATCTATCTATCTATCTATCTATCTATCTATCTATCTAT